CATCATCATCATCATCTCCTTCTCCCTCTTCCTCCTCCTCCTCCTCCTCCTCCTCCTCCTCCTCCTCCCCTTCCTCGCCGCCCTTCTCCTCCTCCTCCTCCGCCTCCTCCTCGACCCAGGGCGGAAGAAGAGCAAGCGCGGAAAGGAGATCTGGGGGAGCAGAAGGCGGGGCACAGCGCCATCCGACATGCGACAATGAACGTCTCCCCCTGTCGTGTCCCGACTGTCCTTGTGGATGCCATGGCAATGGACACTCTAACAATCCTATTATTGAATTGAAGATGGTTTTCAATGAGTAAAACATGTTCTAAAAACGTGTTGAACATGTTTTTACGTATTTAAAACATGCTTTAATCATGTTTTAGACATCTGGAAATTACTTGGCAGTATGCTTCCTCTCCATTAATCGTCCTCCACAAGGCTATACGCAGATCGGCGGTGGACAAATCTCCCTTTAATAAACAACCCTTTGGTGAAAACGGCCTGGGACCGAAACCGACGGACCTGGACCCGCAAGAATGACGGTCGCGACGCCCTCTCGCGAACCGAGAACGGCCAATTCGCTAACCGACGCGTCAGGGTAGGAGGTCTGTCCACCCCCGAGTAGATCGGGGAAGCGTAAAACTCGGATCCTGGGGACTCGGATTGGCCCGGTCGAGCTGTAGGAATATGACGCGACCCACTGGACGCGAGGTCCCGCTGCAACCATCCCACGAAAACTGGACCGTCAACATTCGGGACGGGCCCGTCAAAAACGGCGGCTGACCAGAGTTCCAGCACACTCGAGTCTTACGTTTCCCGAGTACACGAGGGGAGGCGAATCCAGCCGCTGAAGTCATCGCTTGGCACTCCGGTCAAATTCGAGCCGACGCAGAGGCTGCCCACACCCAGGGCACACCCGCAGCGGACAGGATCGGAAACGGTGACGGTTGACGGAGAGCGAGCCAGGAAGATCGGGCAATCGTGATCAGCTGTTGGGTCTCTCCACCCTCTGCGCACCGTCCACGATCCAGGCCGGGCGCCGCGACAGTCCCTCGAGGATGGCACACAGCTGCGCCTCCAGGGTTGATCAACCTGGCCAACAGCATTCGCGTGGGCAATCTCTCACGCCTCCAGTTCCGACATGCTGCGCCCATTGGGAGGGATCGAGCATGGTAGCATTACAACACACTCTGGATGAAGATCAGGCTGCGGGAACAGATTGATCTGCTCGCCTTGCACCAAATATCCGGGCGCGCGCGGCCGTTCCTGGCAGGCACTCGGCGAGCCGACGTGGCCGGATGAGATCGGCAGCCGGATGAGTTGATGCAGCAGGCAGCGCGTGTGGATGGGTGACGTGCTGATCCTCCTCCTGTCCTTCTTTCTCCTCTGCTTGATCCTCCTCCTCAGGGTGCATCAGCGATGCGGCAATACACCCGCTGGTCCAAAGTCCCCTCATCATTAGACTATTTCTGCAACGAAATCACCTAATGGTTCGATTCGATCGCTCTGCCACTAGCAAAATCCCGGCACCTGGATGAGTTGATGCAGCAGGCAGCGCGTGTGGATGGGGGACGTGCTGATCCTCCTCCTGTTCTTCTTTCTCCTCTTCTTGATCCTCCTCCTCAGGGTGCATCAGCGATGCGGCAATACACCCTCTCGTCCCAAGTCCCCTCATCATTAGACTATACACGCATTCTTAGTTCTGCAACGAAATCACCTGATGGTTCGATTCGTTCGATCTGCCACTATTGAAATCCGCTGCTCCTCAACAGGGAAAGCACGCGACAAAGCAGCCGACAGCACTGCAATGAAGAGGACAAAAACCTGAGGGGGGAGAAGAACACACCAGCCTGAAAATACGAATTCCCATTTTTTAAATAATAAATCATAAAAAAAAAAAAAAAAAAAAAAAAAAAAAAAAAAAAAAAAAAAAAAAAAAAAAAAAAAAAAAAAAAAGTCCTGAATGGGCACAAGCTGCGTGCAAATCTCTGAGGCCCCAGCGGCCGCAGCCAAAATCCAGCGCAACATGGCAGGGAAAGAGGGAGGAGGAGGAGGAGGAGGAGGAGGAGGAGGAGGAGGACGACGACGACGACGACGACGACGACGACGAGAGGGGAAAGCAGACGCGAAACGCGCACGACCCCGATCACTGCAACGAGTTGACACAGCGCATAGCAAACCAAGGGTATACACAAAGTACGCCCTTGAGATCTTTACAGAAGGAGGCCGCCCAGAACACCTCGAGCCGGACGGACTTGCGGAGGTCTGACAACGATTGGGGGGCCGACGCGCAATACATACAATACGAATGGGAAGGGGGAGGGAAGGGGGGAAAGAGGGGAAGATGACACTGCACGCCCGGCGCAAAACTGGCCGAAGTCCGCCCAGAGCTAGATAGAACACGCAAGATTGACTCCGAATGACTCCGAATGTGCGCGATCGGCCACGCGGCTGGGACACTGACAGGGGCCGAAGACCAAGCCTGTTCACAGGACAGAACGCGCGGGTTGCATGGTCGCGCAGCTGCCACCACCCGCCGCGAGCGCGAACCCTTTCATGAACACCGCGCGGGAGGAGATGGCGAAGAGGGAAGAGGCGACGGAGGGGCAGGTGAAGATGCTGCACGTTGGCACCGAACGACTCCGGGAGGGCCCTGCGCGGAGCGGACGCGCCGCCCAGCCGGGCACCACTGGCAAAACGACGCCACCATGCAGGGAGGAGGGAGGAGGGAGGGAGCCAGAAGGCGGAGGCAAAGGCGAAGGAGGAGAAGGAGGAAGAGGCTGCGAACTCGCACCGAGCGACTCTTGAGACGGCCCTGCGCGGACGCACCGTCCAGCTGGGCACCACTGGCAGAGCGGCGCCACCATGCAAGGAGGAGGGAGGAGGCGAGGGAGGGAGGGAGGTGGACCGCGTAAGAAGGAGCCGGATCGCATTCCGCAGCGGCAGTGGAAGCCCGCTCACTCCGGCATCTTGTGCAAAAAATCGTGCTCGATCGACGGGAACGCAGCACTCATGTCAAAGAGCCACGCCGTGGGTTAGGACCACGTGAGGGCCGCCTCAGGCATGATGGCCTCGAGCTCAGCTATGTTGGCGAGAATGGACCTCGCCTTGCACAAAAAACGCCAGTAATCGTTGACGAGCTTCTCCACCGCTGGTTCGATCTTCAGCCGGAGTTTGCAGGCCAAAATGCGGTTGGAAGTGCTTCCAGTGTCCGCAAGCATCAGCGGACTCGTGTCCTCTGTCCTGCGCACGCATTCCTTCTGAAGGGGCCCTGAGACACACAAGTCAATACACACAGATAAAAAAGATCCCCCATATGTTCGTGCATCTTCTAGGTTTTTGTCTTCCCCCCACTTCCGATATTTTCACATATTCTCCTGGGAGTCGACGATGAAATGTGTCTGTGTGTGTGTTTTTCCCCCTCCGGACCTGCCTCTGTCGGAGGCCCACCCCTCGAGAGCCGCGAGGCCCCACGGGCCTGCCGGATCGAACGCGAGCCCCGCCTGGACGAGGGAGCCGTTCTCTGCATCTTCGGGCCCGGGAAGAGTCGCAGCGCAGGGCCGCGAGCCTCCAGGATTGGAATGGAGACCACGGCCTCGAGAATCGAGATGGAGGCCGCGAGCCTCGAGGATTGGAATGGAGACCACGAGCCTCGAGAATCGAGATGGAGACCGCGAGCCTCGAGGATTGGAATGGAGACCACGAGCCTCGAGAATCGAGATGGAGACCACGGCCTCGAGGATCGAGATGGAGGCCACGGCCTCGAGGAAGGACCGCCCACCACCCGTGCGGCTGCTGCACGTGGTCCGGCTCCTGGTCGCACGGCTCGAGGCAGTCTCGAGCGAGGGCCCCAGAGTCAGACTGGACCGCTCCCCTGCAACACAGGTCTTGCGCAACGCTCCGACGACATCAAACGAGAGCCCACCGTCCAAACGGATACGGATACGGATACGGATCGCCCGTGCGGGCATGCTCCGGGCCCCTTAAGGGCGAGGCGGGTGAGGCCATGGCCTCGCATGAGAAGCTGCGCGCGTGGAGGGGTCTACTCAGGACAATGTGTACTTCAGGAGCTGATTTCCCGACAGTCCCCTCCCCACTCATCCGTTTTCTCATGATGTAGCCACGTCGTCTCGTTGAAATCGTAGTTCTTGAGGTGTGAAACTGTCGGAGAAACCCGTGAGTGTCACTGTCCAAACGGAACCGCCATCAATCCATGCAACTGTTGCGAAGCTGTGGAGCGAAGGAACACGGCACCGAGGCGATAGACGTGTCGTGAAACACCGGTCCGCCCTGCGTCCTGGCAGCCAGTGGAAGCTGCTAGGACGAGCAGGCTCAGTGCGGAGGCGAGAGCCAACACTGAAGGGGCCCTGGGACACACAAATAAATGCACACAAATGGCAGGATTCCCCATGTTTTCCCATGTTTTCTGGGGTTTTGTCCTCCCCCCAATTCCCATATTTTCCTACATTTTCCTGGGAGTCGACGATTAATTGCGTCTGTGTGTTTTTTCCCCTCCTGAAACATGTGAAAGCCATTCTCCATCAATCCGGGTAGCGGTTGGAAACTTCCAGGAGAGAGCGCGTGGCGCTGGGGCGAGAGCCACGTTTTAGAGACCGTTCGTCTTCCGTCCGTGGAAGCGTTGACAGAATCAAGCTTCATGGTCGTGAACTGTGCGGGTGTCACAGGCGAAACGCCTGGCCCACCCTGCCGACACGCCTGGTGGTGCGACGAGTTCTTTTGGACGAAAAGGAGTGAGAAAAAACGGTGACCATGACCAACATTGAATGCGAAAGCGTCGGTGCCGATTTTGGTCATCGTCAATATTCGTCATCATCGGTTCGTGGATCATCCTGGCGAATCGGCGACGGACAGCATTGACCATGACCGCGAGCGGCATCGACAAGATCCCGCGACGTCCTGGCCATGCTCATCGCGTTTCATCGGAGAAGAGCGCTCGCGGAGAAGAGAGCCCACCTGGCCACTATCTTACCCCGCCCTGCCCCTCCGCCCGCCCCCGCGTCCTGCGGCGGCCGCGTCAGCAGCATGTTCTCCGGCTTCACATCCCCTGCACCCGAGGACGTCGAGAGGGAGGCTGCGAGTCCGTGCGGGAGGCGCTCGAGTCACGACCACCTCCCTGGGAGCAGGGTCGACAGAGCCACGGAGAGAGCGGGCCGCAGGGCGCGCGGAGAGGGCCGGCGCGACCGGCCTCTCCTTCCTCCCGCCCTCCTCATTGAAGGGGCCCTGGGACACACAGGTAAATACACACACATACATGATCCCCCATATCTTCCAATATCTTCTTGGTTTTTGCCTTCCCCCCCACTTCCCATATCTTCCTATATGTTCTGGGGGATCGACGATTCATTGTGCCTGCGTGTTTTTTCCCCTACATCCCCCACGTCTCTCTCCGCTGGCGCGTGGTGGGTGGGCAGCCGCGTGGCGGGCGTGGCTCTCCGCGGGGGGCTCCGCGGGGGGCCGCTCGCGGCCCGGCCGCCGGGTGGCCGAGAGGGGTGCGGTGGCACAGCGGTGCGCGCGGGAGGAGGAGGAGGAGGAGGAGGAGGAGGAGGAGGAGGAGGAGGAGGAGGAGGAGGAGGAGGAGGAAGGAGGAGGAGGAGGAGGAGGAGGAGGAGAGGGCGGCCAGGCGTGGGCGCCAAGGCCCGGGGGCACGACGGAGGAGGAAGAGAGCAGGCTGCACCAGGGCAGGCGAGCGCGCTCCCCCTGCCGCACGCCAAGGACGCAGGGCGGGGGCGGGGGCGGGAGGGGGGGGGCGAGAGGGAGGAGAGCGGCGGCGACTCACAGGCCTGTGGGGTCGGAGGGAGGAGGGGGGGGAGAGAAGGAGAGGATTGAGGAGGGAGCCGGGAGGAGGAAGCAGGAAGGAGGAAGCAGCGGGACGGGGGACGGAGACGGGAACGGCGAGAGAGAGGGGATGAGGGGAGGAGGGAGGGCGGGGAGTGGGAGAGAGAAGGGGAGGAAGGGAGAGACGATGGGGGAGAGGGTGGGGGAGGAGACCTGGGAGGAAGAGTGACGAGAGGGGGAACCTATGAGCTAGATCTGACATCCGACCCTCCCACCACCCATTATTTCCCGTTGCGACTATTGTTTCCCTTTCCGCCGACGGGTGTCTTAGCGGACGTGGGATTCCCAAAAGGACTCCATCTTGTTATGCACAATCAGATCAGGGATGCTGTGTACATCGGAGGAAGAGGAGGAGGGGGAGGAGGAGGAGGAGGAGGAGGAGGAGGAGGAGGACGAGAAGGACGCGGGGGGGAGGGGGGGGCAGATGAGCAAGAAGACGAGCAGGAGTAAGAAGATGAGGATAAGGAGGGAGGACGACGAGAAGGAGCAGCAGCAGGAGCAAGAGTACGAGGAGCGCAAGAAGCAGGAGGACGAGTAGAAGGCGGAGGAGAGGAAAGGAGCAGGACGCCAACGACGAGGAAGGATTAGGACCCAGAGTTATGGCCCGCGCTGAGGCGAGAGCGCCATCTTGAACGACAGGAACAAACCGTCGATCCGACACAAGGCCCACGCTGCAGCGGGAGCAACGATCTCGAAGAAACGAGAAAGTTCGGATTGGAAAAGAACATACGCGGAGAGAGTCACGCTACTCTAAGGACGTCTTCGGGGTAGAGAAGCGAATGATACGCATGCATGTGCAAACGCATCCTTGACCAGGTTGCCGACGAACCGTGCAGCACGGGTGGCGCAATCGTACCACTTCTGCCACCACGCAACATCCAGTCCCGAAGTTAGTGGATCAGACTGATAACAGCGGCCTCAAGAATGAATATTTGCGCCGAAGACCAGCGGTGAGAAGGCAAAGTGGCACGATGAACAAGTGCTGGAATACTCGTTGCAGTACGTGGCCAGTCCACTTGGGGATCTGTTGACGCCTACCCCGTGGCCAGAGAGCACACGAGCAGAAAGGCAAGCGAAGGAGGCAGGCAAAGACGGACAAACCAGATCGAAGCCGATGCATCTCAGAGCACTTGCCAACCTCACGTCGAGCACAAGTCAGCCCTCGTCGCATCGGCTCAAAATATGGAGCACCAAGAGCTCGGATATTGTCCTGATGTTTGTCGTGGCCACCCGAAGTGCAAACACCTGAATCCTCGTCCAAAACGTCACAGAAGCTAGGGCTGTCTTCGTCAAACGCCTTCTCTGTCCCGTCCGACTCGTCAGACTCGTCCGATGATGGTTACGGGCTCACGTCGTCCAACAAGCCCATATATCGAGCTTCGAAAAGATTGTCAACCCAGTGTCTGATTTCTGAAAGACTTCTTCTGTCAATCATAGCGCGCAAGCGCGCCCTTTCTCGTTGCTTTTGCATCGTATCGATTAGCTGCAATTGCTGCAATACTACATCCTCAATTCCATCAGGCACTCGTTCGTTGCAGGTTGGCTTCAATCCTGTCCAGTGTCGAGCCGGAGTTTAAGACATGCGTTGCGTGGCCAAGTTATCTTCGAACGCCCTGCTCAAGGAATATGCTGAGTACTTGCCCACCTTACTACGATTGTGTT